AGGGATTTTTACCACAAGGTATCAGCAGACGTATTTGCACTGTTCAGGTCTTTGTAAGACAGTCTGAGAGCAGCAGCAAGGCAACCTAGAGCCCTCCATGCAAGGGTACAAGTACCAGCACAGGGATGTACCACCAGTGCTGGGGTGCTGACGATGCCGTGGGCAGCCAACTTGGCCAAGGGAAGCAGGTGCCAAGGAAGCCCATGCCATGAGATGTGGTCCTTGGTGCTATACTCATGGCATTGCAAGGACAAACCCCACCACCAGCAGCAGCTGAGCCACTTCACTGCTGGCAAGTGCTATGAACTGCTCCCATGTGGACAGAGTTGATTGTCAGCAAGAGACCCACCAAGACAGGTGCAGCCAGAAAAAGCCCATGAGGCTCCCAGGCTTCAAAACCCAGCCCTAAATCTGCCTTCAAAACCTTCAGGGATCCTCTCAGGCTCAGCACAGGGCACTCCTCCAAATGTTGGGGCCCTACAGGGTCATAAAGTGACGAGCATGATGAGGTGAGGTTTAGGAGCTCTGGATGAGATCCCTCAGGAGGGCTGCCTGGATTAGCAGGGAGACTAATGAACAACCTCCATCTGAAAAGGTGGCAGATGCCTCATCTCCCTCAGGACCAGTGGTTCTATACTCTTCTCCCCACATAAAGAGCTGTTTGGGATGTCAAACAAAGTACTTGAGTTACCTACTTAAAATTAGGTGGACTGATTCAAAGCCATTCAAAAGTCTCCTCTCTAGGTGCTCTGCAGCCGATTTGAACAGGAGGAATAGTGAGAAAAAGAGATGTTCAGAGTGAATTGGCTGCTTCTCATCACAGCACATTGAATGAGGCTGAGAAGCTGAAAAATTAGGTTAAGCAATTGGAGTATAATATCCTTGGAGTGGGAGAGGAAAGCAAGAAGAAACCATCACTTTTGGAGGCATCCTGGGATTAAGGATCAGGCTGTGAAAGGAACTTGAAACACCACCTTCCATGCAAGGGGAAGACTTTCCTTTTGAGAAGATTTCATTAAAAATAGAAACTACAATAAACAAAGAAATAATATTATTAAAATATGCCCAGAACTGGCAGATTGGGCAGTGATTTTGTTGGTGTATGACTTCCAGGGGACAGCTGAGTAAAGGGCTCAGCTAAGCCTTGCTCACTGTGCTGTTGCTTGTGCAGCTCTGAAGCCTCTCCAACATGTGTTGGGAGCAAGTGAGACCCTGAGACACAGCACTGGACCACACTGTGCAGCTGCCCAGGAACTGTGTTCACTGCCTACAGGCAGGTTTAAAGTAAACAGGACATGGTTCAATTCTTATTTTCATCTTCATTTCTGTGATGTTCACTCCTATCTATTAAGGTCCTTAAACATGACCCATTTTTCAGGTCCAGGGGAGAGATGCAAACAGGGGAGATGTGTTTCATCAAACAGGAGAGCACAGAGCAAGTCCAGGAGAATGGGAAAATTCTCACAATGTTTAAAGGAAAAGCAAACTAAGGAATGAAAAAACAAAACTGAGGATCTGGTTGATGAAATTAATTGAAAAGGACATTATATTCCTTATGAATAAAGGTATAATTTATTCAGTGAATTGGGGAAGCCAGTCAGCAGATATTAATCACCATCCAGACTGGTGGAATTTGCTTGCACCTTAATCTGCATTTATATCTTCAGTAGTATCAATTCACTGTAGAGCAGAAACAAATGCATCTGAAATGCCATCTCAAGCAAGATGAAGACACACAAACAGGTCTGGGTCTCAGCAGGACAGTGTTGGCACATGCTGCATTCCCTGCTTACATCTCCCACTGGAGGAACCCCAACAGAACCCAGCCATAAAACATGAACCCAGTAACTATCTGCAAAAGATAACTTTTGGTGGTTCTAGCCAGAACCCTGATCAGAAAGTAGAGACACAAATTCTAATGTTTTGCAAAAATTCAAAAGCCAGATGGTAAAGAGTATAATTTTGATCAGTTGAGGATCTGGTCCTGCACAAACCAAACCAGAGCCTGGAACTTCTAGTGTTACAGTGAAAACAAGTGCAAAGCAGAAAGCAGTGCTTTCCAGGCTCTTGGGTGAGATGGCTTTGCTGCCACCAGGAATCAGGTGTCCTGGGCTTTAAAAAGAAGAAAGGAATGGGAAAGGGAAAGGGAAAGGGAAAGGGAAAGGGAAAGGGAAAGGGAAGAGAAGAGAAGGGAAGGGAAGGGAAGGGAAGGGAAGGGAAGGGAAGGGAAGGGAAGGGAAGGGAAGGGAAAGGAAGGGGAAGGGA